CTCTGAAGCAGCCTGTCTGCCCTACACTGTCTTGGGAATTTACAGGACAGGAGGGGCTTGCATCACTCTCAGTATGGGAAGGAATCAAGTCTCTGTTTTCCCCAGCCTGCCCCCCTTCCTCTCCGGAGTCTTCGCTGTCGCTCTGGGAAGGGACGTCCCTGACAATGGGTGTAGCGGGGATTTTTGTTAGGGGATGGCAGGCCTTTTGGGGGGGGGGCAGAACCTCAGTTTGCCATGTATTTTTACTGAATTTTATTGATGGGGGCAGCTGCCCCTCCCTGCCCTCCCTTGGCAATGCCCATGTGTACCAGCGCTGAGTGGCAGGCAGAGGGTAGGGCCACCCTGGGTGGGAAGAAAGGGGGAGCGGAGCAGAGTGGAGTGCAAGGAGTCCTGATATAATAATAATAATAATAATAATAATAATAATAATAATAACAGTCTCACCAGAGTGGTGCATGCTCTAGTTATCTCTCGCTTGGACTACTGCAATGCGCTCTACGTGGGGCTACCTTTGAAGGTGACCCGGAAACTGCAACTAATCCAGAATGCAGCAGCTAGACTGGTGACTGGGGGCGGCCGCCGAGACGATTATAACACCAGTCTTGAAAGACCTACATTGGCTCCCAGTACGTTTCTGAGCACAATTCAAAGTGTTGGTGCTGACCTTTAAAGCCCTAAACAGCTCGGCCCAGTATACCTGAAGGAGCATCTCCACCCCCATCGTTGTGCCCAGACACTGAGGTCCAGCTCCAAGGGCCTTCTGGCGGTTCCCTCACTGTGAGAAGCCAAGCTACAGGGAATCAGGCAGAGGGCCTTCTCAGTAGTGGCACCCACCTTGTGGAACACCCTTCCAACAGATGTCAAAGAGAAAAACAACTACCAGACTTTTGGAAGACATCTGAAGGCAGCCCTGTTTAGGGAAGCTTTTTAATGTTTAATAGATTATTGTACAGTGGTACCTCTGGTTAAGTACTTAATTTGTTCCGGAGGTCCGTTCTTAACCTGAAACTGTTCTTAACCTGAAGCACCACTTTAGCTAATGGGGCCTCCTGCTGCCGCTGCGCCGCCGGAGCACAATTTCTGTTCTCATCCTGAAGCAAAGTTCTTAACCTGAAGCACTATTTCTGGGTTAGCGGAGTCTGTAACCTGAAGCGTATGTAACCTGAAGCATATGTAACCTGAGGTACCACTGTATTTTAATATTCTGTTGGAAGCCACCAGGGGGTGGGGGTGTTCCCTCATACACCCACGCTGCTTCCTTTGCGTTTTACGCGTTGACAGTTATTATTTCTCTCATAAGATGGGGTGGGGGGCTGAGGTAAGCGCGCCATTCCTGTCAGCCCTGGAGAGCGTGTTCGCATGCGTGGGTAAAGGGAAAAGCCATTGGCCGTGCTAAGTCAAGCCGTCGCCACTCAAGCAAAAACATTCTTTTCCCCGCGTGAGGGACGACGAGGCAGTGGCTGTTTACCTTTCCATGGCTCGCACCATGTAGCTAACAAGTGGCCTCCCCAGCAGAGCACAGAACTGCCTCAGAGTTCAGCCACCCAGGCGCTTCCTGCTTCCTCTGGCGTGGAGCACCACCGCCACAGACACCAGCGGACGTCACTCCCAAGGCACCTCCGACCCCCACTGCCGGAACTGATCTTCCTGAGCTCAGTCGCCGGCAGCTCCATGGTGGAAATCTGAACTGTGGCTCCTTTTCCCACTTCCCCACCCTAGAAGAAAATAGTGCTATGTGCAACGGACAGAGAAGGGGCTTGTCTTGAGCATCCGCCCACCTCACTTTTGACCCCGAAGCCTGGCTGAGTCGCAAAAACCATCGCCCCCGCACGCACTATGCCAGCTGCCGGAATTTCCGGACCATCCGCTTGCCGGATCTAGAAGGCAATTGGGCCTGATCCGGCCCGTGGGCCTTAGTTTGCCAACCCATGGTTTTAACCTATGAGGAGGATGTCAGAGTCATGACAGAGCACAACATTGTAGAGGAAGATCATTAGTGGTAGATTAGTGGTAGATCTTTTAGCTATTCCTTTCTTTGAGGTATACTTTCCAGGCTTCCAAACATCCCAGATTCCCTAAAAGACTTCTGCCAGTAGCATATAATATATGGCAATACCTGATGGTTGGCATGCAATAACATTTGCCCATATTTGAAGCTGACATTCTGTAGCATTTACTGTTTGACAACATTTGATAGATACCACGCAGCGATAATTCAGTTCACATTTATTTGTCTTGGACACAAACCACAACACAGTGGTAATTAACATTTGACAGTTGGCAGCTTATGAGATGTCATATTTGAAACCTGCCAGTGTAAAAACAGTCAAGAGAAACAGCAAGTCTAACACATTCAAAATTTAAATTCCGAGGTATCAAGTTGCAAATTTGCCTCGACATTTCTCAGTTAAAAAATGCTGCACATACAAAATTAGGAAATTGTCCAGTCCTTGAATATTTACAAATATTTGTTTCAGCTATGAACAGGACAGGGGTCAGCAAACTTTTTCAGCAGGGGGCCGGTCCATTGTCCCTCAGACCTTGTGGGGGGCCAGATTATATTTTGGAAAAGAAATTTAATGAATTCCTATGCCCCACAAATAACCCAGAGATGTATTTTACATAAAAGCACACATTCTACTCATGTAAAAACACCAGGCAGGCCCCACAAATAACCCAGAGATGCATTTTAAATATTAATAATAAACATTCTACTCATGTAAAAACACACTGATTCCCGGACCGTCCATGGGCCGGATTTAGAAGGCGATTGGGCCGGATCCAGCCCCCAGGCCTTAGTTTGCCTACCCATGAGATATGAAGCTGACTAAGGCTCCAAGTAGGCTCAAATACCAGCAAGGACCCTTTGGAATTCAATGGGATTAACTTCTGAGTAGGCATGCACATCATTGTACTGTGAAACTGTTACAGTATAATAGAATCTTGCGGCTCACACTGGAGAATCTTTGAATTCACACTGTTTATGCTCTATGAATTTTTAGCTGTAACTCAAAAACCATACAGGACAACTTAGGGCATGCACATTAGTGGCACTAAACACTAAGTTTCTTCCCCCCTCCCTTCCTCCACGCTGTGTTTCAAGCCATGGTTTACATTGCTGTACACATCATTACCTGACCTGTTTTCCTGCACTTACTCAATGATAAATGCCTATTCCATGCGTACTCAACTTCGAACACCAGTAGTGAGAGTGCACTGGAAAAGGAGTAAATGCACAGCCTTACAATAATAGGCAGTTATGGGGGAAATGGTAGCACATGCATTTTGTTTTTTGACGATATACAGTGCAACCCAAAGCATGCTTATGCAGAAATACCCTACAGGTAAGTGTTGTTAGGTCTGTAGCTTGTAAAACGACCAAATTAAGAGCAAGCTGTCGTGAATAACATAATTTAAAAGCAAAGAGCGTATTTGTTCTTTTGATTAAATAAAATATATGCTAGAAAAATACAGATTGTCCCACAATATGCTGCCCTACTTATGAATTCAAAAGAACAAACCAGCTGCACTCTATGAAACACTGCCTTATTGTTCATGGCACTTGCATTTAGATGATCTAAAGTCAGGCTGAATCCAGGCCGTACTCAGAGACCTGGAGGACGGGGCTAGAAACTGAAGCTCTTGTGTATGCACATGAAACTGTGTGAAGCAATGTACAAAATCTCCCCTAACATACAGTAAGGGCAAAACACAAAACGCTATTAGTCAAGGGAAGATCTCAGAAGACGGGAGTCTGGCCTTGGTAACATGAGGGCCATTGGTACACATGCTTGCTGTTTTCTTGCATTTGGGCACCTGCCAAACCTCAGAAAGAATCCACACACAAAAATTAAGCTCCTTCCTCTAGTTCTGAAGACCCCACAGTGGGAGATTGCAATCAAATACAACTAACAAGCATAGGGCTAGTTAGTACATGAAGGGGTTAAGAAAGTAGAGCTGTGTTCCTAGACTCCCAGTAAGGGAGGAAGCGAAGTCTTATCTTCCTGTTCCCTCTCTCTCCCTGCTATGTAACTGACCAATGAAGACCAATGAAGCAAGCTCCAAGCTTATTTACCACGTTTGACGCTATCTCTCTGCCTCTTCTATCCAAAGAGTAATCTGCCTGTGTCCTCCTTGCTGCAACTTGGATAAATGCATGAATCAGACCTTTGAAATGTTTTGTAAGTAAAACTATTTAAACTTACTTAACAGTGAGTGGTCTGTTCAGTGCTAACAGGAGTAGAAAGCAAAGCCCAATTTGCAAGTGGACTAAAGGGGATATGTAAAAGGTTTAATAGTTTACATTCCTAATGCTTCACTGTGCTGCTTAACTTTGTGAGTTTAAACTTTGCTACTGGGGGGCTCTCTTCTGCTGGAGAGTCAGTTTAGCATACAGCCGATGTGGGTCATGGGAATTCATACTTTCCTCCCACATCCGCTACCTAGCATGACTAAAGCAAAGCCAAGGAAAGGAAAGAAGGTGTTTTAATTTATTATATTATATTAAAATTGAAACCACTGAAATCTTCACATTGTCCATCTACACCCTGCTTTGCACAAGAAATCTTTGTGGGAAAACATTTTTTTTTATATGAAGAAGAAAATGAGTGAGGGGTCTTAGTGCTGGTTGGTTGTCCGTAAATATAATGCCAGGATTCTTTCCAAGTAACGGCAGGTTCAGTTTTAAAAGCAGGACTATCTTTCAGACAGAGCATAAGATTCTTTGAAATTTTCCACTGTGTAAAGAGAAGTATTTTGTTGAAACTGTGGGTAAAGTGAAACAAGGGTGAAAGAGGAGAGGTAAAAAGGCAACATGTCTGTGTGTGTGTGTGCTTTTTTCTGGGGGGGACCCCCTAAACATTTTGTGAACCTAAGTTTGGCCTCATTGAGGCGCAGTATATCAATATGAGTAGGAAAATGAGAGTACCCCTAACCATTTTTAAGGGGGGGAGAAGCACTGTGTATACCGTATTTTTCGCTCTATGGGACGCACCCGAACATAGGACACACCTTGTTTTAGAGGGGGAGAACAAGAAAAAAATATTCTCCCCCTCTCTGCGCAGCGCCCCTTCAGCGAAGCGGCAGGAGAAACGGAGCCCCTTCCATTTCTCCTGCCGCTTCGCTGAAGGGGCGCTGCGCAGAGAGGGGGAGAATTTTTTTCTTTTTCTCCCCCTCTAAAACAAGGTGTGTTCAGTGCGTTCAAGGTGCGTTCGGTTGCCTTCAGTGAAGGCAACCCGAAGCCTCTGGAGTGCAGTGGGAGTTCCCGCTGCCCTCTGGAGGCTTCAGGTTCCTTTTGACCTGCTCTTTGGGGCTGGCGGGGGGAAGCTCATCTCACTTTATTGGCCGAGGGAGCTGGCGTACAGCTTCTGGGTCATGTGGCCAGCATGACTAAGCCGCTTCTGGCGAACCAGAGCAGCACACGGAAATGCCGTTTACCTTCCCGCCAGAGTGGTACCTATTTATCTACTTGCACTTTGACGTGCTTTCAAACTGCTAGGTTGGCAGGAGCAGGGACTGAGCAACGGGAGCTCACCCCGTTGCGGGGATTTGAACTGCCGACCTTCTGACTGGCAATTCCTAGGCTCTGTAGTTTAACCCACAGCACCACCCATGTCCCTCTAGAACCATCTATGCTGAACCATCAATCCAAAAGAAAACACAGGCGTCTGGAACTCCTGGAATCTTGCACCGCTGGGAGACTGGGGTGGCACATAAAAATATTATTCTCTCGCTCTGCACCCCACCCACCACAGTGCAATCCTTCAGGTCTTCTTACATATTCATTTAAAACATTTTTTTAAATATTGTTTTCCAACCAAAAACTTTTTCCAGAGCTGCAAGCCTACAAATGCCAAAGACAGAGTCCCTGCCTGCAGGCTCACTACTGAAAAGGCAGGACAGAAAGGAAAAGGAGAGACTGGGAGGAAGAAAAAAGCAATCCGAATATAGTTTTACCACTGTCTGTTGGCTTTTTTTGTTTTTTACTGTTACTACTGGTTTTGTTTTTAATTAACTTATTGTTTGGTTTTGACTGTATGCCACTTTGGAAGTTGGAAGCTGAGTAAGAATATTAATATATTAACTTCCTCATTGCTTTGTCAATAAGGCGAATTTGTTTTCTATCTTATTAGCTGTGTGCTTGGATTTCTTAGGCTGAATTAATATTTTTTATTTTGCCTTCAATGTGCGACATGGGAAGTTATTTAATACAGAGACAACATCAGAGGCTCCAAAATTTGTAATAAGACTCAAGGAACAAAAGAATGTATTTAAATCGAGAAGATCATTAAAAGTAACTTCTCACCCATTTCCCAGAGACTTCTGTGATACCAGTACTTGTGATATCAAACACACTTTTTGCATTAACAATTTTACGGGTAATTTGTATTTTGGAAATTAATAACCTTTTGAAGGGATTTCAGGATTAGAACAGAAAGGAATCTATCATTTAATATTGTTACAAGGTTAAATGTAACAATAATTTGCTGTGCTTGGCTGTATGTGTTTCACAACCACTCTATGGCAACAACTTTTTTTATAGAATCCATGGGTTGTCTTCAACTAAGTCCTACACACAGTAGACCCCCTGAAATTAATGGACTTGTTAGAACAAGTGAGAAAGAGCCATTGGTTTCCAGAAACTGTGAGAAGATTCTTGAAGATTCTAGAAGCATCAAGGTGCAAGATAGTTTAGTCTACAGCAGTTATGAATAGCTGTGGAGCACTTATGCGGGGACATGCGCGATTCCTACAGGGGAGAAACTGCTGAGTTGTGTGCATGAAGAACTGAAGTGTGTCTTACTATCTGTGTGGTAGTAAAGTTGTAAATAGTCTTCTACTGACAAGAATAGATATTGCCTTTCAAGTAAACAATGCTTGACTGAGCTTTACTGCTGCTGTGAGTGTTTCATTGGCATTGGCCATGCGCAACTTGATCCTTCAACGCGAAGCTGCGCGATTACTCTGTAAGCTAGGAAGTGTTGCTGGACCACCCTCAAGATTTACGGTTGGAGATCGTGAAATCTTCTTCAAGTTAGTCATGGGTCCATTAACTTCAATGGGTCTGCTCTGTGCAGGGCTAGTAATGAACACCACTCTTATCGGTGCAACCAAATCTGTTTCTGGCCCTGGGACCACCGTCAGAACATTTGTGTTCCTGAAAAAGAGCCACTGGCCACCCACAGTTTAAAACAGAAATACAGTGCCAATAAAACTCACTGAGCTAAGTCTTTTTGAGTTAGTCATTTAGATGCTTGAGGCAAGGTCTCCATCCAAGACAGAATATTTCCCCTTGGATTTTTTTCTTTCACTTTGGTTTATGAACACTTCTGGCCTGAGACGTAAAGAACAAATTAATCAAGTTCAATTTCCTCCTTTGTTATTCTCTATGGAGCGCTTTCTGGCCGAAGCAGACATTTCAAGACTTTAAAAGGTGCCAGAAAAGAGTAGAGACATCACAAACATACCTGCACTATTCACCAGGGGAAACCATATTATTTCCAATTACCTGTAAACTTACTAACAAAATGCAGTCCTTATTTATTACAATTTGTTCCTAGTAAGATGATAGAGGGAGCAGTCTCAGCCAACGATGAAACCACTTGGCAACCACTCCAGAATCACCCAGCCACATTCCTGCCTTCAGTCTTGAGAGCACCTGTCTCCTAAGACGGCCACATGTCCTAATTTACAGAGGACACATGTTTGAGGATGTCCTCTGATGTAAATAAAACACTGGTCCCAAGACTCAGGGTCCTGGGACCCTTAAAATAAAATCTGAGCAAAGTTGGTGAGGAAGCAAAGAGTTTATTGATTTCACATTATTGCAAGGATGGGTGCCTGTCCGAAAGCAGGCACACCCAAATTCAGTAAAACACAAGTTTATATCACCTTCCCCCAAGCACAAAATTCCCTCCCTTGCCTCCCTATTGGTGGGGGGTGTGCAAGGCTCACAGGTATCACGACCACCTAATTAAAATATTTAACTCTCCGCTCCTGTTTACATCTCCCATTCCCCTGAATTTAGGGACCACCACCCTCAATTAAAAGGTAAAGGGACCCCTGACCATTAGATCCAGTCGTGACTGACTCTGGGGTTGCGGCGCTCATCTCGCTTTATTGGACGAGGGAGCCGGCGTACAGATTCTGGGTCATGTGGCCAGCATGACTAAGCCGCTTCTGGCGAACCAGAGCAGCGCATGGAAACGCCATTTACCTTCCCGCTGAAGCGGTACCTATTTATCTACTTGCACTTTGATGTTCTTTTGAACTGCTAGGTTGGCAGAAGCAGGGACCGAGCAACGGGAGCTCACCCCGTCACGGGGATTCAAACTGCCAACCTTCTGATTGGCAAGCCCCAGGCTCTGTGGTTTAACCCACAGCGCCACCCGTGTCCCTTCACCCAAAATTACATTTGCCCAAATAAGGAAGCATGTTCCTATACTCATTTACCCCAGCGATAAAGCCACACTTACATGAATTCTACCCTGCTAAAGCATCTAGATAAACCACATTCTAGCAGCAAGCCACCCTGTTTTTCTGAGTCCTTAATCACAAGCCATCCTAAAAAGAAGCTCTGTGGTTTTACTTCTGTTGCAACCTTTTAACCTCTCATGAAAAAGCAACACTTTCATTCCTTACATCCTCCATTTGAAGGGCTGCCTGGTCCAAGTCTGGCTTAAAGATAAAGAACTATTTTAAAAAATTGTGAAGCATAACTTCAGGGGCCTTGAAACTACCCATAGTTATCATGAAGCATGAACCCTTTCCTTCCTCCGAAATACAGTCATGTTCTGCCCATTTAGTTGCAGAAGCAATCCAGTATCTTTTTATTTTTATTTTCAGTGCTTTGGTTATTATACTTCCACCGACAATCAAAAACAGTGCCAGTCTAACGCCACAGATCCAGAAGTACTAAAAACCAGCAAGATCGAGTTGTGTGTTGTGTCTAGTGGTCTATAGCTTATGGCACTGGTTTTCAACCTTTTTGAGTCCACGGCTCACTTGACCAACCACATTCTTTCTGCAAATATCCTAAGCACACGACTAGCACACTCCAAGCAGAAGCTGAGCCTTGAGGTGTAACATCTAAGCCTAATTTATTGCGCGCAAAATCAACCGTAACAGAACAAAGAAAACATGGCTTCTCTCTGTGTCCTTCCTGAGAGAGAGAACTGCAAAAGCTATACAGAACGGAACAGCGTGTCTCAGTTTCCACTCACAAGACTCCCAACAATCAGTGCTGGAATGTAAACACAGACACGTGACATGTAACAATCCCACACATCTGCAGGGCGGGAGGAATGGAATTCCCAACATAGGATACAAGGGAATCCCAGCTTAAGCAGGGGTTCTGTTCTGGGCCACTGCATGAGCATAGCTGGGAACTCCCCAGTGTCATAGCTGGTGGGAGGAGTTTTGCCCTGGAGGGGCACCATTGAGGCTCCCAGCCTGCCAGCTATTTACTGTCTGGGCTTGAGGCATTGGCTTGCATGCCCAGCCTTTGCCATTCCTTTCCCCGTGAAGCAGAAGAAGGGATGTCCCTAGATCATTTTCAATAGGGAGAGACCATTGGAAAACCCACAATCTCTGACTAGTAACCATGCTGCCTGGGATTGATGGGAGTTGTAGTCTGGAGGGCACCATGTTGGCTACCCCTGAAATATAGCACGGAAAGCTACACTAGCTGAAGTTCTTTCTCCCACACATGTATGAGAAGGTACAGGAGCCCTGACTTCTTTTGCATGGTGCAGACAATGCCAACATCACAGGTTTGATCCCCCTTTGGGACAGCTACATATTGCGGCATTGCAGGGGGTTAGACATGATCATGGGTAGGCAAACTAAGGCCCGGGGGCCAGATCCAGCCCAATCACCTTCTAAATCCAGCTTGCAGATTGTCCGGGAATCAGCATTTTTTCTACATGAGCAGAATGTGTCCTTTTTGTTAAGTTGTGGGTGAACATATCAGACGACACAGCGATTTCTGCAAAGCAGCTCTTTATTTGTAAGCTGGAACAGAACTGAACTGAAGGGCTCAGCCAGCCTGCTTATATAGAGCTCCAGAACCTCGTTACTGTAACAACTTTCTAAAACTATCCAATCACTGAACGTCACTTTTGATCCTTCATTTGCATAACTATCTGCAGTA